TCCTCGCTAATGAGTGGCGACATTTGCTATCATAGTAGTTTAAAAAAATTATATTTTTAATATTGAAGAATGATAAAAAGTTAAATGAAGGACCCGCATTGATGCTATTTGAATTTTTATCTGGGAAATAAATACACTGAATTCTTTCTTTTCCTATTTGTGAGCCTTGATAATTAGTATTTCCGCAATGTTTTAGTGATTTTATTTTCGACTGATATTTTAAAAAACAACGGAAAAATAACAAAAATTTTAATAAAGCAGAAGACTTATGTGTCCGCGTTTATAATATAAACGAGAGTTTTATTGTGTGATCCGTCTGCAGACATTTCTTACGCGTTACAGTTTGCCGGCTTGAAATGTATTCTTATCGTCTGTCATTATCTTCTCTGGCTCTTGCTTTAAAAATTTGTAAAAAAAAAAAAATGTTTTTCAGAGAACTGTGCATCTACTTGTAAAGAGGATTAGAATATTTCGCAGCTTATTATCGTTTATGACATCTCCTTAAATAGGTTGTATGTTCTCCCTACGAAATTCGGGTGTCAAATACATTTTACAAATGATGCAATGATTCATATTCGCATAATACACTAAAAGGATTAGTTTACGTGATAAGTAAAAAATTATTAATAATGAAAACAAGTAAATGCAACTTACTCACAGTAATAAAAAAATTCCAATAGGTCGTAAGAAATTAATCCCTCGGTGCTTGGAAACAGCTTACGAACAGTAAACATTTTCAGAGGCATTTATCATCCCAGATAGTTTATTCCTAGAAAGTATTCATGACGTAAACATCATGACAAATTGTGAACTAAAAAACTAGTTTATTCCTCATAATTTCCACTTTCATGCGCGAGAAATAAAATTAGTTTCGGATGTAGTTAGATACGATGAAAAACAATGAATCTTTTCCCGACCTTACAGGCATATGTATAGACAAATATAGAAACCATATTTAAAGCCACTCATTTGTAGAGAATTAAAATTCTCCATTAAATAAACTATATTTTTTTTTTTTTCAAAAAAATGTTGATAACAAAAAAAGCAAAATCAAACTGAACAACAAAAACAAAGAGAATTTAATTCTCGCTAATGAGTGGCTACATTTACTGTCATAGTAATTTATAAAAACATTTTAACCAAAATAGAAGAGGCATGAAAAATTAAATGTAGGACCCGCACTTATGCTACTGGAATTTTTTTTTAAGTTCTCAATCCCCCCAATGTGAGGAAAATCTGACTCAGATTGAGTAACCCTTTTTATAGCCACTCATTTGTAGAGAATTGGATTCTCTATTAAATAAAATATATTTTTTTTGCAATTTTTAACTTCCCAGTGGGAAGTTATAGTAATGGGTCCGATTTTGCGAATCGCTAATTTTGACATATCTCCACGTTTTAAGGTCCCCGGAGTTGAATACGATAGTTTTTACGTGGACGTCTGTGTGTGTGTATGTACGTATGTGCGTATGTTCGTACGTGCGTTCGGAATTATTTTTCGCCTCGATTATCTCGAGAACAAAAAATGATATCGACGTGGGACCAACTGCGTTCGACGCGTAATTAGTTAACTTAGTACTGATTAGATTTTCAGCAAAATCGGTCCAGCCATTAAATGCTCTTCGTTTTTGTAATTCAATTTTTTTTTGCTTTTTTTTTTGTTATAAGCAATAATGTAAACAAAAATATATTTCATTTGATAGAGAATTTAATTCTCTACAAATAAGTGGCTACAAAAATGCTCACTCAATCTGAGTCCGATTTCCCTCACATTCGGGGGATTGAGAACTTGGAAAAAGTTTTTTTCTATCGAAGAGATGCTATTTCCTTTATCTCTATGTTTTTTTTTACAATTTCGCTTTAAACCTTATATCATATGATCTCTGGGCTGCGGAAATTGTTTCCTGTGGTTTTCTTCGTTCCCTACTACCGTAAAACCAAACGAAGCTCCGCCCTTCATATTATCTCGGCTAGATGCCGGGTTAGCGTGCCATCTTGCGGTTACGTTCATAAATGCTGACTGCATTTTTTACCTCCCATAAGGACTGGACTTCTATACTGGTCTCTCTTCTCTGGTGAGAGTATCTGTAGTTTCTGGAGATAATGCAGACGTCACCACTTGTCTCGAAGGGACATGATTAGCTCTCATATTGTAACAATACAGTAGACATTTATACTGATGGAAGCAAGGCAAAAGGTAACCCCTCAGTTGACTCATCATATTTTTGTCAATGCTTTTGTAATCATTTTCTCGGACTCACTTAGTGCGCTCCAGAGCCTTCAGAATATTCAATTCTCAGTGAAAATCAACCCTTACATTCACGAGATAAAAAAAATTTTCTCCGGTTACCTCTCCAATAATAAATACAGCTCAATCGAGATCTTCTGGATCCCATCTCATAAAGAGATCTTAGGGAATGAAGAAACTGATATCCCGGCAAAGAGGGCTACAAACTCCCCCCCCCTCTAGTCCTATATCATTTACCGACCAATTCGAGTTCCATAAAAAATCAACCTAGGAGTCGCATTACGCAACTTTGAAAAGTATAGAACAATCAAAAGGCGAAAAATACTTCAAGTATTTCTTCAATGAACGCACCCAACCTTGGTTCTCCTCTTTAAAACTTGAGCGGCGCCCCACAGTCATTTTTAACAGATGTAGACCAAACTACTATGCCCTAGCTGAGTCCACAGTCATAGTTGGCATCGTCTCTCATCCCACCTGTAAATGCAGTCAGACCAAAGAAGACATCAACCATGTCGTATGGCAATGCCCTCGCTGCGACATCCAGAGAGCAACGCTAATCAGAAAGCTCAGCAAAATAAATCAACAGCTCCCCCTAAGCACGGAAACGATCCTGGCTGCACCCACGGCGGCCATCTTTTCTATAATCTCTAAATAACTAAAAGACATTTCTTTAGAGGTTTAAGAATAAGCAAGGTCAACCCATACTGCTACAGCTGAATAACTTTAACCAAGTTGAACGTAAACAAAACAAACCAATAAACCTGTTGTATGATAGAATAAATGAAATAGTAGTATTTAAGAACATGTAGGCAATATAACGTAAAATGCTATAATATACTTTCGTAAGATAAACATGTAATATGTATGCTTTAAACTATGTGTATGTAAAATTGGTGATCAACATACGTAAAATATAACCAAATTATTGTTTAATTATTCAAATTACTCTTATTAATTAGTTTTTCGTATTTTTTACGTAAACCCCCACGATTTTTACTATAAAGAATTGAAGGAGTATGATATTATATTAATAGTTATATTAACATATGTACTGGTAAAGTTAAAGCTAAATAATTGTGTCAAATTAACACAAAATTTATGTCAATTTGGTGCTCTTGTGTATTAAATCATTGACACAAATCTTGTTTAAAGATTTAACACATACAGTTTTTGTTAAAATAACACAAAAAATTTAGTGGGCCGTTTTGGACATGTGAAATGTGTTAATTTTAACGCAAATTTGTTATTTGTGTATTTAAGCGATCACAGAAAAATAACAACAAATTATTATAAATTTTCATAGGATAAGTTGTATTCATCTTTTTATCATTCCCTATAAATAATAATTCTCTCAATTTCAATCTCAAATGAATCCTGGTCATTTAAAACAAGAGTTTATACATAGTTTATTGACAAATTTTATTCCCTGGGCTACCGTTAATCTTAACTTCGGCAGAAAATCACTCGGCCAACTCTGATACATCTTTGGGACAAATTTTTGAGCCGAGGTTGCATGCTAAGCCAGGCCGGATGTTATAATTTGATAGTTTATCCGTATATGGCCCAGAATTGTAATTTATTGGGCTTTCTTTCTCGAAGAAATTCTCGCAAATGATTATATATTAAACGATTTTTCTGTTAGCTTCTCAATTTCAGTTGACATCGAGCTTCAGCCTTTTGTCGCCCAAAGCAAGGATGGAAAGTCAATTTGGGGGAACTTTCTGACTTGAGCGTACCCTTGAACTTTGAAAAAATTTACAGGCCTTAGAGCAATCTTGCATGTTTTGGATTGACTATTACATTAGATAGTTGAGAAGACTATTAAGATAGTGTATTGACGATATCTGAAACATTTGTTACAGAAAGATAGTTTTTGCAGCCATGTGAAATGTTGTCTTTTCGGCATTATTCCGAAATTGGACTAAATTGTAATATTTTAAAAATGGATAATTTCTACATACTGATAGAAGGGATTTGTAATGATGATAAAGGAGGCTTCTTAATTGTTAAAAAATATTTTTTAACAGTTTATAAATCTTCTCAACTATTAAGGAATAAAATTAAAAATTTAAAAATTAAAAAAACCAATATAATCCATATTTATTGTGGATTATTTGGTTTTTTTGAAAAATGATATAACATTCAAATGAGGATGATTTGGTTTTATTTCATACATATTTGTATAACTAAAAGATATCTAAAGGTAAAAAGTGAAGTTATAAAGGTCGAATTAGTGATGTGAAATGACCGTTAATTTTTGAAACGGTTAGGTCACAAAATTTTCGGCCGTCAGTGACCGTCATTTTTGAGTGTAAGGTTACACCGTCAGAGGTCACAAATATAAATAAAATAGCGCTAAAATTTGAAAATACGAAACGTTGCAGTTTAGAATATCTGTGGACGATTGACCAGTTAAACGATAAATAATCAATAATAAGCAAAATTTTGAAAGAGAAAAACTGAATTAAGAGTTTGGAAATAAAAGAAACCAAAAATTTTAAGCCTCTACTTAGTTGTCAGTATGACAGTCAGATCTGCTTTGGTCAGCTTTTGGTTAGCGCACCAATGGTCATTTTTTTCCATCGGTCACATGACGGTCACGTGACAGTCACTCGACGGTCGCATTTTTCGTTCACATCACTAGGTTGAATTGATAAATATAACAGTTCTGGTTGATATAAGGTTAGGTGGTATTACGATCGTCGATTTATTAATCGTTAAAAAATATTTGTCAACTGTTAAAAAATATTTCTTCATGATAAAATGAGATTTATTCATTATAATACTTGATAGCTATTACATCTATTCAGTATTGCTCTATAATCAATTTTCCATTTACCATCAATCCATTTCAAGTAAATAACTAAGACTTAAATTAAACATTTACTTCCAGCCTCGGTTTCATCATAGTGGAACATTTTTAAATGTTGTGATGCCTAGAGCTGACAGATCTCCACAGTCAATGAACTTTTATTAAACTGCGAACACTATATAAATGGTTCTATTCTTATTCCTTATGTAGGGTCTTTTCTTTATAATTAAGAATAGACCAAAAAATCTACAAAAGAATTGTCACAGTCGAAAAATTAATTAGTGAGTCTTAATTAATCTTATGAAATGACAAATAAATGAAAAGTTGGTCACTCAAATCCTAAATAGTAAACTTGCAAGAAGAGGGGAAATAAAACGATCCATATTATGTACACTATTATGAATACATAAATCTATGAATTCATTAGATCAAATATTTTATAGAAAGAAATCAGAGAAAAATATTTTCATTATATTTTATCGAGTATGAACAAGCTATTTTCTAAAATTATTTTCAGAATTTTTTAAATGCATAACAACTTCAATCACTCTTATCACGTTACACAATTCCTTTTCTTTTATATTTTATCATAATAAAATATGAAACGACATAGTTATCATTTTTTAAGAAACAGAATCTCAAAAAACTTATCAAATCGCACAGAATTGCTCTTCCTCTTATTTTATAGAATTCACATAAATTCAATCATGTTGCGCCGGGCGTACAATAACATCAAACTGTTCAAAAGATCTGAAAGCATTTAGATGATTTCGAGATAAACATCTTAGACGAAAATATGTCATTGAAAATATTATATATACTATCATTGGTTAGATGTAAAATGTCAATAATTATTGATTCTAGAATTGAATATTGAGTAAAATCTAATTTTTCAGAAATCGTGAGTAAATGTATGTCATAAGCGAATGCAATAAATCATATACGTATATAATTTGCATGCATATCTTGCCTTTGATAATAACTTTTTATTACATAGCTGCTCTCATGCATTGAAATAATACCAAAAAATACCATTTCTATTATTACTTTCGAGTCGAAAGTATCACTGGTTATCGAAACAATAAATTTCTTTGTTTAATTGTACAAAAAAAATGATTAGAATGAGATAATTTGTAAATTATCAGTATGGAAATATCTTATTAGACTTGACCTTATCAAATTTTATCACTTAAGTTATTAATCCCATGGCGCAAAAGCTTATCAGAGCATAAAAAATTCTGTTCATGATCACTTTTACGATACAGTTTTAAGCTTCCATGAGAAATTTATAAGAACCTTCGATTTGTTATTTGTTAGGTAATAATATTTCACTAGAGTTCAATAAAATCTTCAATTCTCTACGCTAAATTAACTGCGAAAAAAAATCTAATGAGCTCTCTAATTGTTCTTATTAAATCTACTCAAAATTTCACTTTTGTTAGTGATAGAAATTATGTTTATTTCTGAGTGTAAAATAGTATTAACAATTTAACTTTAAAATATAATCTGACCATAAAACAAGTATTAATTCATATCTTTCAACTGTAGACAATGATGATAGAATAGAACAATATATTTATTTTATCTCGTTAACGTCTTCTAAGAATACTTTATTGTCAATTTATTTGGAAAATAACAACATTTAATTGTATGAAGTTTTACAAGACGTCAAAGTTATGGTGTAGCGGTTAAACTTTTAAGTTTTTTTGTAAGAGAATTTTAACACATGTTTTGGACGCATTCGTAAATAGATATTCATACTGTTCAGAAAAGATTATCATTAATTATTAACATTCATAGTGATTGAATAAAATTAGCGCTGAGAAACCATTCATAAAACTTTTATCTATTCAAGTATTGATATCAACTCTGTTACTTTCAATTTTTGTCAGCTCTCAAAAGTATACATGTCATTGATTTTTCGAGTGCAACGTATATATTTGTCTTATAATATGTAATACCGATTTTTTATAGTAGATTCAAGTGTTACACAATGTATAACTTTTATTATTAGCCAAAATCAAATAATAATTTTAATGACAATAAAGACGCATCCAGAAGAATATATACAACTTTCGCATATATTCTCACTTTCGAATCATTCGACAGGCTTGGTAATTGTCTTCGTTACATATTTATTATTTCCGGCCCTCACCTGATCTTCAGAAAATCATCATATTATAGAAAGATAAATAATTTTTTCAAAACTCTTTATCATTAAATGACAGGACAATATCTTATAAGGATATAATTTATATCATCAGAGTTTAAATAAATTAATAAAAAATACAATATGAAACATTGTCATGCACTCCGCCTATAATTTTTATTACTAACGTATTAACAGAAACAAAAAATTTCATACGTTAAAAATATAAGAAATTGTAATTAATTATATTGAAACATATTTTTTTCACTTCATATTTTGAAGACAACCAATGGAATTGTTAAGTTTGGATTCATCCTTATACAGTATCTCTCATTTATTGAATTGTATAATTCGATCTGAGTATATTATAATACTTAATATTATTAGAATGATATTTAACGTTATTAAATATCATTTTCGTACAATGTGATAACAGAATTTACGGCAATGGTTGAACGACTTGCACATAACTAACAGGAAAATAGCCCGTACGTCCATTTATTTTTCCTTCAAACCAGTTTTCATCAACTCTTTGAATCAATGTTATCGTGTCATTTTCCTGAAACATAGAAAAAAAATTTCATTAATTGATTATAGTCCATATTCTGTGTTGACACTATACTATTATTGTGTTATAATATTCTTATAATAATTCCTATAATAATAATATTCTAGGATAATACATGAGAACTAATAATTAACAGTAACTAGTATTCACTAGTTATTATTTAGTAATTAGAAGCACGATTAAAGTGATTTTTTATTAATTATTATAAATTTGAGGCTGTAAGAGAGACGGCGGAGTGGCAGTACACGTATGCACATTCTATGTAAACACTATATTATCATTGTGTTATAATATTCTAAAATAATAATTAAGAATTAGTCATAAACAGTAACTAGTGTATACATACTTATGATATACCCTGAATATTCTACTGCAAACGAACTCTTTTTACAGTTCAAAATCCATTATGATCAATATATTTCACTATGCGTCGTTGTTGTAAAATAGTTTTTGATTTTCTTGAAGGTTCTTTGCAATCGTTTAAAATTTTATTATTAGATAATCTCGTTAATTATTTCAATATTGTCTTTACCATATGCAGTACGCGCAATCGCATTGCATAAACGCATGCAATGTTTATACGTACTCTCAATATTTTCTAATAACCCCTCCTGCTTTGATTGTATAAAGGGTATATGATGTCATCCTCTTTTCCATTTTTTAAAAAATAATTACAATATGAAGACGTAATTTCCGTACTTAATATGCGTATAAATTCTTGTTGAGTGTAACATGCTCATTGAAGGTCAATCTCTACTGATACCAATTACTGCATGTCCAAGTATAAAAAAAAAGGAAATTTTTAGTTAGAGTACTTTTCGATAATATAAGACTTTCGGATTGTTGTTTTATTTTCTGTAGCCAAAGTGTCTACATTTATGAAATTAAACTTCTTTACGCACGCTTGGCTGAGGAGCATGTTAGTAAATGCGTGATGAAAGTATTATGAAAATTGTGATCGGACAAGGGGAACGAAAATTAAGAGGGAAATGTAAGTTAAAGAGATCTATGCAAAATATTCGCGTTCTACCAACGCAAGATGTTCTCTTTCACTAAAATAAAGTGACAACTCGTAGTTAAGTTAACTCGAAAGGAAACCTGCACTTTTAGTATTTAACAATTAAATTATTGTAAGAATGCAAAAATAAAATATTGTAAAATATATGTGTGTCCATCTATAGATGGATTGACGAACGACAGTTTATTAGTTAACGACGATTACTTGATGATTCGATTGTTTATAGCAATGAGGGGAGAGTTTGTTTATCTCCAGTTTAGGACTGAGACTAGCTTACATTAGACGTCTTGTCTTTGATTCTGTATTTGAATCTGTCATTTTTAATAAACTAACTTTTAATAATAGTTGTTCTCATTCTATTATTTTACAATATTATGATATAATTCGCATTTTTTACGTTTATTCTCGATGTTTTTATAACCGTTACTTCTTCTTTCATTCTGATACAAGGTAATGTGTACCATTATGCGCTTATACTTATTATGAAATTACTGTTGAAAACATTTTCGATCAATCTATTATTAGGTAACGTTATTTTACACATTACCCAGATGAACTTGCGAAAATCTGATAGTAATAGTACACTGAGAAAATTTTTCTTGAAAAAATTGACTATAATGTGTAGGTAAAATTTACCAAGCAGTTTGGTAAAGCTACTTTACTGTTAGTTTTTGAGTAAATTTTACCGAGCAATTCATGTTAAATTTTACTCCAACATTTCTGTTTAAATTTTAACGGATTTTAGAAATATTTTGTACTGTTTTACGCTCACGTGTTTATTTATAGTTATCCGAATAGTAGGCATATGTCGTCGGGAAACTTTTAAACTGTGAATACGTAAAATTGGTATTCAACATATTCATATAGCGTCTATCAAAAATAATTTCTTAATTATTTCAATTATTTTTATTAATTGGTTTATCGCGTTTTCTTCGTAAACCGCCACGATTTTTACGATAGAGAATTTAAAGAGTATGATTTTTTTTAAACATTATAGTAGATGATACGTTATATAAATGAAATATATTGTTGATAAGTTTACCAAATAATTAATTTTTTTAATATGTTGTTGGAAAATTTGATTAAAGTAGCTACAACATTTGTAAAAATTACTCTCTAGTGAAGTAAATTTTACTAGGATTTATCGTAAACCTCGAGTATCTATTGATGAGACATTTCTGGTAACTTTTGCTAGACTCGACGATTATCTGTATAAGTGAAAGAATTTCTAGTAAAGTTTTCTAGAGTTCTAGAAATATGGTCATGAATATTTTCTTCGTGTAATGTTTTTTCTTTTGATGTTAGTTAAAAGTTTGGCTATTTCTCTTTGGAAATGTCCAAAACTCCAATGTGAGTGGGAAGGTCCGTTTATCATCAGAACTAAATTTAATGATGCTTTGTTTCGAATTCATAAAATTCCGAATTGTCATTTGAAAGTTGTTCATATGAGTAGATTCACTTCTAATGATGATGATTAATTTTTGAATTTTTCTCGATTCCTAATTTTTGTTGAATTCAGGGTAAATTTCCAGTATAAGAATGTTGGTCTTCATTGATCTTTTGATTATTGGTTTTAAAATCACAATGATTACTTAGAGCATTGTCCTGGAGTTATATTCTTGCATATACACGGTTGGAGTCTTTGTACAGGAATTCTTTTCTACATTTATTGGCCAAAGTGAAGCAAAGTGCGGTACTAGATATCCATGGTATCCTATTATTTTTGCTCGGATAGTATACGTCACTGTCCAGTTTTTAATAATTTAGTTTGCACAGTGAGCAGAATCTATTGACCTTATTTGTGAAAATTTCTTGCCCAAGGTGGAATTTATTATTGTAATGATATTGGATCATTGCTTTAAAAGTCGAATTTAATTTTAAAAGGATACGTAGTTGGTTATTCATTTTGCTAATTGATTCCACTGAGGGTGACTATTTAACCAAATTTTTAAAAAAATTGAAAGAAAAATTAGTAATTTGTTATTTTTAAAACGATTTTTCTTTTCAGTCTAATCCAATGTTTTACTCAACTATTAGGAATTGCCGGGTGGCAATTTTTCAGAAGATCGGATGAAGTGTAAAATATGTGTATATCTCCACATATGATTAAGTTGGATAACGACAGTTTATTAGTTGCATTTGCTTGACGATAAGATTGTTTATAGCAATGAGGGGAGAGTTTGTTTATCTCCAGCTCATGACTTAGACTTGAATTAACATGATGTCTTCTCGTGATTTATTTATAGCTGTGAATCTTCAATAAACATTTTCAAACATTTTATCATTTTTGGAGTTATTTTTTGACTATATTTTACAATATTATATATTATGTACGTAACATTTAAGTCATAAACATGACATAATGTTAATAGATTTAATTTCATATAAACTATCTCACTTCTCCATGGGCGACTGATTCCCCCTATCCAAATACATGGGATCGAGATATTTCTAATTTCTTCGCCAATTTACTATTATTTTTATAAAATTAGGTACCAAATTACAGAGGAATTAATGCCGGACTGACGTAAACAACAATTTTTTGTATGCAGTGAATATTTTTATTAAAAAAATTAGAAAGAATAATGAACAAATTATAAATTGACTTGCCGCGCTTAAATTCCAAGATGGCGGCCACATCATTCAGATGAAAAATCACTAATTACTTTATTTTTATACGTTTTTTGCCCGAAATTCGTGTTTGCGTCAGTCCTTGCTACCTATCTGAATGTCAAAAAAATTAATTTATAGTATAAAATTGAATAATTTAGAAATAATTAGAAATATTGTATTCCAGATGATTTTTTCCGGAAATTAGTTTGAAAAATTCCAATAGGTGACAGCCTTATGCTCGCAGAGGACCTCAGCCAGAGAAAAGAGACGTAAATAGAAGTTTATTTCTTATGGGATAATGTGGCCGGAAATTTTGATACGTGTTGTTGCTGTCAGATGGCAGAATGGTCGAGATTCGGAGACGTTTCTGAGCGTAGGGCGGAGCTCAAGTTCTGTCATGTAGTGGTGGGAGACGAATGGTTTCCTAACATCGTTCTCTGAGAAAATTTCTCTTTCATGTTAACAGGAGAGAAAAAAATAAAAATACGAAGGAGTTGATAGATTTGTTTCAAATTTTTTTTTAAATGAAACAAAAAATTAAGACGAAGACAATGATGAGGGTGCGGAGTTTCAATTATCAAAAAGTAATCGAGCACGCGCCAAACATTGACCACTTAACCCGTAGGTTTTTCGACGTAAAAAACGCTATTGTAAAAAGGTAGACCCGCATCAGTCATAAAATCGGATTACCTACATAAAAAAGTACCACTTGTTCGTCTTCAGATGTAAAAATGTTAAAACTAGACTCGTAGTCCAGTCAAATGAGGGAAATGGGATAATTTTGGTTTGCTGCGGCCAAAGTGATGATTTATAGATGACTAGATCGGAAATTTCACGAGGAACACGATGGTGTCGGTCAAAAATGTTTGGCACGCATTGTCACAAAAAGTCGCCCCCCCCCCATCGCGAATTTCTAGATTTCTATCATAGATATGAAAAAATGTTTCAAATAAAAGTTGTTCAGAATTTAATTTTAATAAAAAAAGTACTGAACACTTTTTTTCATATCTATGATAGATAAAAAGTTATTCGCGACTGAAGCTTCACTATTGACGAAAGCTCCAGTTGCGTCTAAGAAAATTAATAAAAAATACTAAACGCTACAAATATCACTTTGTGGCGATTTATTTCGAAAAATGAGATATTAAAGTACATTTTCAGAGAAAAAATTTTTTTTTTATTAATTTTTTCATTATTTTTATTAACAATTGCACATTTTCAGATCTATCGAGGTAATTATGTGGGAGATATAAATTTTCTTTCTTCAATTATTATATTTTTTTTTCTTTTAAATTCGAATGGATGACTTCCGGTCATCACGAACGTGCAAATATAGGCATACATGTTCTCAGATATGTCA